GGTTAACAGGCAGAAATTCTAACGACGGACTAAAATTGGAACACTTTTAATTACAGTGGTCGCAATGTGGCAAAATTAATTAAGGTGGACTAAAATTTGAAAGGCCCATATAATAGTAGGACCAAAAATGGAATTCAGTCTATATTATTTTTTTATATTATACAATATTATACATTCAGTACACATTTAATGTACTTTTAGTATATTAAAAATGTAACTTGTATTTTGGAAAAATACATAATTTGAGCACTGTAAATACATTATTTTGTATAATGTACATTCAGTACATAAACAATTTACTTTTAGTATATATACTTTTTATGATCCATACAATATTGTGTCGTAGACTATGGTCCACACAATAATTTTCCATAAATAAGTGAAGCATGATTCACGTACTTGAAGCTTATTAGTTTGATTCTTACTCACATTTTCTTAATCGATCTCTTCGCACAAGATTTACATTTCTTGTGTTAAAAAAAAAAAAAAAAAAAAAAAAAAAAAAAAAAAAAAAAAGAAATACACAATTTCTTTCCACGCTAGCCCTTTTCTGTAGCCATTAGATTATCACAATTCAACCTCTACTATCCATTTTTGGGGCCGGTTAGGCGACCGCGGAGGGCCCATGCTTGAAGGGTCCCATTCATATGTGTGTGTGTGTGTATACACACACATATGTATGTATATATATATGTTTTCTTTTTTTATTAAGTAGTGTTATAATTATAATAGAAAACAAAAAACGTAGCATAGATGGAAGCCTAACCGATGTGGGACTGCAGGAAGTTGGGAATCTAAGCGTAATCAAATAACTTAAAATCACTAATTTCTTAATTACATCTCATTACCTTAAAGTCTCTGTCCATTCGTCTTCTTCAAGAATTTTTTTTCACAATTTCGATGAATCCTCTTTTTCTCTTTGTTACATCTTCGTCGACGGTCGACCATTGTTTGTCAGTTTGGATCGCTGCTCGTTGGATCCTAGTATCCTACACCGTTGTCCGTTGTAACTTGTAAGCTGTTATTAATGTTAGGAATATAGCGGAATAATGCGGAAGCGAAGAATCGAAAATTGAGAATTATAGAAGTTAAATAATATGAAAAATATATAAATGACAAATAAATTATTAAGAATGGAAAATATAAATAAATAAATATATATATATATATATATATATTATTCTCTAAAAAGAGAATATAAATGAAGAAATATATATATATATATATATATATATGCTACGTAATTGATGTAATTCACTTTTGATGAATTCAAATTGATGTAATAATGAGGTACATTAAAAACAAGGAATCTAAAGCTATTTATACATTGAAAGAGGAGAAAATAGCGCAGGAAGAAGGAGAGCATCATGCGGCAGTTGCGACAATTGTATGGAAATCCATAGCCATTTGTAATATATAAATAGCTAGCTTAGCTTTCTAATTCTAGGCATCTCTTTTTACATCAATTAATTTTGAATACATTTCACTTTTCCTCTTCCTACGCATATATATATATATATATATATATATATATATATATATATATATATATATATATATTATTTCATATTTTGTCATTTTAATATATTTTCCTATTATTTAACTTCTATAATTCTCAATTTTCGATTCTTCGCTTCCGCAATATTCCGCTATATTCCTAACAATTAATTTTTTTTTTGTCTTTATTTCCCTCTGCAACTGAACTTACCGGCTACCAAAGGAGAAATTTTTCAAAAAATTCAGGTGCTTTTGTTCTTTTCTTATACACAATCAAAATTTATTTTATATAATGCTACCTAAACACCATTTATCTGAGAGTGGAAAAGAATAAAAAAAAAAAAAAAAAAAAAAAAAAAAAAAAAAAAAAACAAGAAAACAAGTAGAGTAGTTAATAGAATAACAAAGAGGAGATATGAATAAATTTTTCAAAAAATCAAAATCTTCTAATGAAATTTTGAAACAATCTAAAGAAAATTTAAATGACCAAGGCCATGTTAACGAGGGTATAGCTAGGTAATTTGAGTAAGCATGATAATGTAACGAATAATAGTTCTTTAAATGAACATGATAATTTACCAAATGAATGTAATGTCGAAAATGAGTGTAATGTTGACAATACATTGGATAATGAACATGATAATTATTTACCAAATGAATGTAATCTTGAAATGAGTGTAATGTTGACAATACATTGGCTAATGAACATGATAATTATTTACCAAATGAATGTAATCTTGAAATGAGTGTAATGTTGACAATACATTGGCTAATGAACATGATAATTATTTACCAAATGAATGTAATCTTGAAATGAGTGTATTGTTCACAATACATTGGCCAATGAACACCTTATCCCTCATTTTGATATTTATGATCCTAGGAATTGGGCTAATCTTAATAGTAAATCAAGGGATATTTGATTGAAAAAGGGCCTATAAGGGAATCAAATCTTATATTTCCTTTAGATAATAACTCTTTCATATGCTCATTATACTAGAAAGTTGAGTAATTGATTGATTAGTGATCGAAAATGGTTGATTTACTCAAAGTGGGTTGATAAAATATATTGTTTTTGTTGTAAGTTGTTTAAAAGTACTTTAGCAAATGACGGCTTTAGAGATTGGAAACATCTTTGCGAGAGACTCAAAGAACTTGAGAACGGTATTGAACATATGACTAATATGACTAGTTGGAAAGAATTAAGAGTAAGGTAAGTAATAATCAAACAATTGATAAAGATTTGTAATTTGAAATTACAAAGGAAAAGGAACGTTGGAGACAAGTTTTAGTACGATTTTTTTTTGTTTTGAAATTTATTGTGAAATATAATTTAGCTTTTCGATGATCTAATGAAAAACTTTTTCATGATAATAATGGCAATTTTTTAGGATTAGTTGAGATGATGGCAGAATTTGATGTGATAATAATGAAAGATCATGTTAGACGCATTCAAAATCATGAAATTCATTCATCATCATTATCTTGATTACAAAATTCAAAATGAGTTTTTTTTTTTTTTTTTTTGACCAATTTTCAAAATGAGTTAATTTCTCTTTTGACTCAAAGCGTTAAAAATTCTATTATAAGTGTTATTAGGGGCCTTTTTTTATATATAATTTCGCCCCATGCCTATAAAATGTTTGGACCCCTGTTCATTTTTTTTGTCCAGAGATCAAAATTCCAAAGAGGGGTAACCCCAACCATGTTGGTCAGGGTATTGGTTTGGTAACGACAACATTTCAAGTTCGACTCTTAGTGTGAGGAGCCTATTAGTCTTCTTGATTTAAACAGAACATCTATGGACAACGTAGACTAGTTTACTTAGCTTCTTTGTGATCTTTTATCAGCTAGGGTAATGAATCAAGAGTTTTGAATGAATGGAAAAAATCAACCTTGCCTTTCATTGATAAAAATACAGTACATATATACAAAGAGGGTTGTCCTTTGCTCCAAGAAAGCTAATGACAGAAAGGAAAAATACAAAGCCAAAGAAATAAATACCAAAAGATCAGGAAAGAAAAGGAAACGAATATTTACAACCAAAAATAAAATAACATTTCTAATATTGCTAATACCCCCCCCCCCCCCCCCCCCCCTCAAGTTGGAGCATGAACATCAAGATTGCCCAATTTGCTTAAAAGAAACTTAAACTGAGGCTTGCCCAAGGCCTTGGTCAAAACATCTGCCACTTGCATAGAAGTATGAACATATTACCAGACTGAACTTCATCACGAATAAAATGACAATCGACTTCAATGTGTTTGGTTCGCTCATGAAAGACTAGATTACGAGCGATGTGCAATGCCGCTTGGCTATCACAATACAATTGCATTGGTGTAGCATGAGAAATACCAAGATCAAGGAGAAGTGCTTTTAACCATTTCAATTCACTTGTTGCCGCAGCCCACTACTGGAAATTCTGAAATTTCCGACCACCTGAAAGTGATCTTAAATCAAGTTGAAAGTCTTGATCCGACCACTTTTGGTATCCGGAAAAACCTTTGTTGCTATTTCCGACCACATTTTGGACTTTTTGGTATCAACTTAATTTAAGATCATTTTCAGGTGGTCGGAAATTGCAGGATTTCCAGTAGTGGCCATTGCACGATACTCAGCATCAACAGAGGAGCGTGAGACAATGTGTTACTTCTTAGTTTTCCATGAAATCGGGGAAGTTCCTAGAAGAACAAAATAAGTAGTCAATGAGCGACAAGTGAGAGGGCAACCAGCCCAGTCAACATCACAATAGGCATATAGACGTAGATCACAATCAGCCCAAAGAAAAGCCCCTGCCCTGGATTAGCCTTCAAATAACGCACCACACGAAGTGCAGCTTCCCAGTGAGGAACCTGCGGTTTATGCATGAATTGTGCGAGAATGTGCACACTATAACAAATATCTGGACGAGTAACTGTCATGTATATAAGCCGACCAACGAGCTTCCTATAACTGGTAGGATCGGTAATTTCTTTTCCATTAGCCAAAGCAAATCGATGGTTTTCCTTGAGTGGGACAGCAGCAGGTTTTTCACCCAAGAGACCAGTCTCTTCAAGGATATCAAAAGCATATTTTCTTTGGCTAAGGAAAATACCAGATTCGTTGCGAGCGACTTCGAGACCAAGAAAGTATTTCAATGTGCCGAAATCCTTCATATGAAAGCAATTACTCAAGTAGAGCTTGAAACGATGCACAGCAGTATCGCCATTGCCAGAGATAACGAGATCATCTACATAGATAAGAATATATAGTTTCACACCATTGTGATTGCAAGTGAATAATGAGTGATCAGAAGATGACTGGTGAAACCCATAATTAGTGAGAGAGTCTGCCAACTTTGGAAACCAACACCGAGGAGCTTGACGAAGACCGTACAAAGACTTTCGGAGACGACAAACTTTGTTCGGGCATGAGGACACAAACCCAAGGGGGAGCTTCATGTAAATTGTCTCTGTTAAATCACCGTGCAAGAAAGAATTACTCACATCTATTTGGTAAAGAGGTCATCCATGAGCAACAGCAACAGCGAGAAAGGCACAAACTGTAACCATTTTAATGGTGGGTGCAAATGTTTCATTGTAATCAACTCCTTTGATTTGTCGATCTCCTTGGACAACAAGTCGTGCTTTATAGCGCTCAATCGATCCATCTGCATTGTATTTAACCTTGTAAACCCACTTGTTGTCAATGGCTTTATGACCAGGAAGGAGATCCTCAAGTATCCAAGTGCCATCGTCTTCAAGTGACTGAAGCTCTTGGCGCATGGCCTCTCGCCAATGAGGAGCTTGTACAGCCTCAGAGAATAATGTGGGCTCATGCTCTGCAGTAATTGCTGCAAGGTAATGCCGATGTGCCAAAGAAAATTTATCATAATTAACAAATTGAGATATGGGATGTACCGTACCTGAACACGTTTTAGAAGAGGTGGAACATGGCAGGGGGGATATGCGACTAGCAGAGTGCGTGATATAATCATGGAGATATGTAGGAACCCGTTTTTCCTATTTTCCACGACCAAGGTTCTCATCATCATCACTAGAAGCAGAGTTGGAATTGGGTAAGTTCACTGCATTCATATTAGTCACTTCATCTATCAAAGACACTTCTGATTCAGCAATTATCTCTGGAAGATTATTGGAAAAATCATCCCCAAGCCCATTTTCAGTAAGTGTCTCTGGAAGGTTTGTTAGGAATAAAGTGTAATGGTTTTGATATTGCAAATTTGTATTTGTAGATCCCCCAATTTTATTTTTATAGGTCTAGTAGAGTCTTAGACCATGATCGGGAAATTATTTAATTATGAAAAGAGAAAAATAGAGGAAGATGGATGAAAATAGAAGAAGAAGATATAAAGCCGAAAATCAAGAATTTGTCTGGAGAAAATGACAAATTGAAGAAGAAGATGAATGATACAATATTCACGTCGCTACTACTCAAAGAAGATATCCCAGAAGAATTTTCGTGAAGAAAATTAATATTGGAAGAATGCATGAAATTGACTTGGAGATCAAGCATCTATGGAAAGAAAGAAGTACATCAAATATGATTGGAGATTTAATCAAAAGCTGTACGGACGAAGTGGATGATGCTTGATATATTATTCGAAATGGCTCAAGTTTGAAACTCACCATTAACAATTTTACAAGGTAAAATTTGAGAAGTCAAATTAAATTAATCTGATGGAGTTGGGCGCTAGTTTAAGCTTTGGGCGCCAATTACAAGTGTAAATTGGGAAGCAATTGCACTTGGGAGCCAAATCAATTGAAATTGGGAGCAAGTTTCACATGGAAATCAATTCAATATGGGAGCCAATGTAGAATTGAATTGGGAGCCAAATCAATTGAAATTGGGAGCAAGTTTCACATGGAAATCAATTCAATATGGGAGCCAATGTAGAATTGAAATTGGGAGCAAGTTTCACATGGAAATCAATTCAATATGGGAGCCAATGTAGAATTGAAATTGGGAGCAAGTTTCACATGGAAATCAATTCAATATGGGAGCCAATGTAGAATTGAAATTGGGAACCAATTGAGGTTGTAGTATGGGATGCAATTTCAAAGTTGGGGACCGATTCAAAGAAGACATGGAGATCAAATTGAATTGAGATGAAATTCAAATACCAGGAAAAGTCTGGGAGCCAATTTCAAAGTCAAAGTCAACAATTCAAATTGGAAAGCAATTCAAATTGGGAAGCAATTGAAAGCACCAGGAGCAGTTAGGAGCCAATTGCAAGTCAAAGTCAATTGGGAGCCAATTACAATGGAGAAATTCAAATTGGGTGCCAATTACAAGCCAATTGAAATTGGGTGTCAATTACAATGGAGAAATTCAAATTGGGTGGAAGTTCAAAGGCAGTTTGAAGTCTGAGAACACCCAGACGTGAGAATGAAGAAGATGAAGATGAACTTACAGTGAAAATATTCTCACAAGGAAAAATACTAGTTTAACTAGTATGGGATTAAATTGATGAATATTTTTAAATCCCAAAGATACAAAGACCACTTCAGAGCTGATCAGAGAAGCCATTCTACTCCAAAACTGAGACCCAGATATTTTCCACTCAACGTAAAACCAGAGGAGTATCAGATGAAATTTGGGAGCTCATTTACATGGAGATAAAACTCCATCAACGGCTAGCTTATCTCTTTCTGACATTTTTGCAGAAGATAAGATAAGATCTCTGACAAAAAGATACAAGATTTCAAAAATGAGAGCGTCTCTTTCCAACGGACAGATTCTAATTACCAGCTATAAAATGATGAAGATATGAAGACTTGAAGACGGGGAACTTACGAACAAGAGAGCAGAAAATTTGAAACTCATCAAGAGATCGAATAGAGCAATTAAGCTTGAAAGAGCATAGAGCAAAAATCTCATTTGGTACAACGCATACCAAAAATCTTCAAGTGAGAAGTGAGAAAAGAAAAAGAACTCAGAGAGCTTCAAAAGAGAAATATTCTGAGAGTTCTTAAACAGAGCAAAGCAGAGCAAAAATATCAAGTGCTTTACTTGATATATTCAAAAAGAGAAAACACTCAGAGCTATCAAGAGAAATCATTCCAGAGTGTTTATCTTCATCAAAGAGACCTGCGCATCATTGAAGATCATCTACAGAGTCTCAAAAGTTGGAAGCAAGACAACACTTGTTTTGGAGCAAAACAAGAGAAGGGAGGAAAGTAGCACGGAGCTGTGAAATCCTGGATTGTCACACGGAGCTGTGAGATCCGAAGCAGCAGTGTCGGAGACACTGGGCGTGATTGGTGTGGGCTTGGTGATCAAAGCACCAGATCACGGGATACGTTTCTACCGGAGTGTGGAAGACGGGGGTAAAGTAACGCGGAGTCGTGAAATCCTGGGATAGTAGCGTGGCGACGTGAAACCCGAAGCAGCAGTGTGGTGTCACTGGGCGTGATTAGTGCGAGCTTTGTGATCAAAGCACTAGATCACGGAAATTCATTGTATCTTGGAAACAAGGAGTGGTAGATATAGTGAATTGGCTCTTGGAGAAAAGAGCAAGTGGAGTAGGAGGATTACACCACCTCGCGAACCACTATAATTGTCTTGTGTTCTTTACTGCTTTCTTTACATACTGCTCTTTATATATTTGCTCTCACGAAGATATACTGCTCACACAATCTCACACACACTTTATGTTTATTTATTTCCGATGTGCACCATACTCTAACAATCTAGTTAAGAGTTTTGGTTTATCTCTGTCTTAGCAATTGTTGTGCTGTGCGAAAAAGTTTGAAAGTCTATTCACCCACCCTCTAGACTTTCACCTTACCTCTTTTGGGACCAACAATTGGTATCAGAGCACGCTGTCTATTTAGGCCAATTTGCTATCTAAGCGCGTGCCTAACTGGGTCAACCGTTTCTGACTGCTAGACAGATCCATTCTACAAAGTGTGTGAATTGGATTAATCTTTCATATCGCTCGTGATGATGATGAAGAAAGATTTAGCTCAAAATCTATTATTCTGTCTTGATAAATTTGATGATTGGAAAGTTCGTATGCAGGTACACTTATCGGCTTTACCCGATGAAATGTGGGAAGTTATTTCCACTGGCCCTATAGAAATATTAAAAATCAATACGGCGTTTGTTATATCTCCGGATGCTCCACAGTACGTACAAAAGCCAAAACCGGAATGGACATCGGACGATAGAACGCGGAATAATCTTGACAATATTGCCAAGGATATTCTATTCAAAGCCGTTGATGATACAATATTTCCGAAGATCCGAAAGTGTGCCACTGCCAAAGAAATATGGGAAACTCTCATCATGATTGGCGAAGGAGATGAACAAGAAAAGGACAATAAGCTCACAATCGCCATGAAGAAGTTTGAAGATTTCAAAATGCTCTCAAATGAAAGTGTTGCAGACATGGAAGCTCGAATGATCAAAGTTCTTGGAGAGATTAGTGATCTTGGCAAAAATATTAGCCAAAAAGAAATTAATCTCAAAATTCTACGAGGCTTACCATCTGCATGGGATATGAAGGTTACGGCTATGCGCGATCACCGAGATCTAAGAATGTTGTCAACAGACAAATTATTTAGTGATCTAAAAGCATATGAGTTCGAAATGAAGGCCAAAGATGATGATGTTCATGAAGCTCGAAATGCTGCTCTAATGGCCGAACAACCGTCAACCTCCAGGCTAGTAGAAAATAATGTTGATTTTATGACTAACGAACAATTTGCTCTTTTTGTCAAAAAGTTTAGAAGGTTTATGCGAAAAGGAGACAACAAAAATTCTGCTCGTGGAAAATTCATCTCTCGCATAACACAAGAAGAAAAAGTCGAAGAAAATAAGGATTTATGCTACAATTGCCGCAAACCTGGACATTTTAAAATAAATTGTCCGTATCCGATCGTTAGCAAGTATCAAGGCAAAAATGTTGAATCTACACCGAACAAATCCGAAAGCAAAAGGTTCAAGCGCGACAAAAGAAAAGCTCTCGTTGGCAACGAACCAAACGAAAATGATGATTCGGAGGATTCATCATCAAGCGATGAAAGTTCATATTCGGATGATGATACGGCGCTAATATGCAAGTCAATTGAGTTGAGTACAAGTGAAGATTGTCTTATGGCTCTTGACGCTGAGGAAGAAGAGGTAACATCTAAATCTTTCAATTCTGTTAATTCTTCTTTTTCTCGTGAATCTATTGACAATCTAATGCGAGAATGTCAAGAGATTATGCTCACTCATCCTCAACTCAAGGAGCGCAATAATATTCTAATTCTTGAAAAAGAAGAAATGAATAAAAAATTGCAAGATGCTTTACTTGAAGTGAGTAAATTGAAGAATGAAAATATTCATCTTCAAGAAGAGTGTAAAGCAAGAGAGGTTAGAGAACATAATCTTAGAGCTACTATTGCTACGTTCACTAATTCGTCTAAAATTATAGATAAAATGGTGAGCATGCAAAAGCCATCAGGAGATAGAACCGGAATTGGTTATGACTCCACATGTTCTCAAATCCCTCAAAATCTGACTAATTCTACTACTACTTTAAATAATAAAGTTCAAGTGGTAAAATTTGTTAAAAGTCAGAATAGCACAATGAGACAAGGACTTGGCTATCAATCAAACGCAAAGTTGAATGTTGAAAGGCCGAAACAAGTTTATACTATGGCAAAGCAACAAAAATTCTACAAGCAAAGATATGCCAAAGAGTCAAGTGCAAAAAGATTTCATAGAAAAGAGGGAAGCTTTTCTAGAAATAAAGTTGGGAGATTTTATCCCACTCAAAAAGATTGGTTGTGCAATAGATGTAATATTTTTTATAGACCAAAGCAACCATTCTCTTCCCAGGTGCCAAAATATAAAAATAATTTTCAAAACCCGGCGCCAAAAATATTTTCTAAAGTGAGTTATGATTATCGTGTCTCCAATGGTTACAAATCGCCTCATCTTAATTCAATAAGATCAAGGTGGGTTTGGTTACCAAAAATCACTAACAGCAAAGGACCCAAGCAAGTATGGGTACCTAAAATTAATTAATCTTTTTGCAGGATGGTTGGTACATTGATAGTGGTTGCTCATGCCACATGACTAGAAATAAATCATATCTAGTTAATTTCAAAGAAATCGATGGACCAAAAGTTATATTCGGAGGAAATCAAAATTATGGAATTACAAAAGGAGTTGGCACGATCAAGAAAAATGGTTTGAAGATTGAAGATGTTTCTTTCGTTGAAGGATTGAAATTTAATTTGTTGAGCACTAGTCAATTTTGTGATAAAGGCTATCTTGTAGAATTTTCTAAAGATAATTGCCTAATCAAAAATGAGCTCACAAATGAGATTATTTTATCTGGAAGACGGCGAAAGAATATGTATGTTGTTAATTGGAGCACTAGCAAAGATTCAGTGTGCTTAATGGCCCGAAATTCAAATGAAGCTAATTGGGAATGGCACAGAAAGCTCAACCACTTAAACTTCAAGACTATCAATCAGCTTGCAAAGAAGAATCTAGTAGAAGGCTTGCCAGATATTATCTTCAAGAAGGACCAAGTGTGTGATGCATGCCAACGCGGAAAGCAAATCAAATCATCATTCAAATCAAAGACGCACGAGTCAACGTCAAGACCGCTAAGCTTACTACATATGGACTTATTTGGACCGATTGATCCAATAAGTGTAAGTGGTAAGAAATACACTCTCGTTGTTGTTGATGATTTTTCCTGGTACACTTGGACCGTGTTTCTCAAGAAGAAAAATGAAGTTGAGCAAGTTCTACCGAAGCTGTTGAAGCAACTACAAAATGAGAAAGAATTGCAAATATCAAAAATACGAACGGATCGCGGAACCGAGTTCGTGAATGGAGTTATACAAGCTTTTTGCAATTCACATGGAATTTCTCATCAATTATCTGCCGCAAGAACACCGCAACAAAACGGTGTTGCCGAAAGAAGAAACCGGACGCTCAAAGAAGCTGCACGAGTGATGATTAGTGCTGCCGGTCTCCCGAAACGCTATTGGGCGGAAGCTATCAACACTGCTTGTTACACACAAAATCGAAGCATGATCCATAAGCAGCACAAGAAGACGCCATATGAGCTATATAAAGGGAGAAAACCAAATATTGGTTATTTTCATATTTTTGGATGCAAATGCTTTATTCATATTAATGATAAATTGCATCTAAAAGCTTTTGATGAGCGTGCAGATGAAGGAATTTTTCTAGGATATTCAGCTACCAGCAAGGCGTTCAGAATTTTGAATAAAAGATCAATGGTGGTTGAAGAATCCATACACGTGGTATTTGATGAAAAATCACAGATCAAAAATGATGCACTGGACGAAGAAATTGCTCAAAATGGTAACAAGTGTCATATTGATTTTTGTGATACTAATGATACGTGTGAAGATGATGTTTTGTAGGGAATGAATGAGTTGGAAATTAATTCTCTAGAAAATCCCATCCCTCACCCAGAAGAAGTTGGAAATTCTTTAAATAATAATTTTGGGAGTGATGCCTCACGTGGGAATGGAGATGCAGTACAAGTTGGTGATCCAATTAATGATCAAATTGCATGTGATGTTGGTAATCAATTTCAAGACAATTTAATTGATGAAATTCGAACCAACACTGCAAATTCACAACAAATGGATCCACCCAGTACCATGTACCCATTTCAACCAGATTTAAGATGGCTCAAAAATCACCCTCCAGAATTAATTATTGGGAATATCCATGAAGGCGTGAAAACAAGATCATCTACCATGGAAGCATTGTTCACGTGTTATCTATCTCAGATTGAACCAAAAGAAATTGACGAAGCTCTCAATGATCCGGATTGGATAAATGCTATGCAAGAGGAGCTCGATCAGTTCAAAAGAAATGATGTTTGGGAACTTGTTCCAAGACCGCCGAACCACAATGTTGTAGGAACCAAATGGGTCTTCCGGAACAAAGCAAACGAAGAAGGCGTGATTGTTAGGAATAAAGCAAGGCTCGTTGCAAAAGGATACTCTCAAGAAGAAGGAATTGATTTTGATGAAACTTTTGCACCGGTGGCTCGACTTGAAGCAATCAGAATTTTCCTAGCCTACGCCGCACACAAAGATTTCACCGTTTATCAAATGGACGTGAAAAGCGCATTCTTGAATGGTCTACTCGAAGAAGAAGTTTATGTCGAACAACCCCCAGGTTTTGAGGTAAAAGGCGAAGGTGATAAAGTCTACAAACTTAAAAAGGCATTGTATGGGTTGAAACAAGCACCTAGAGCTTGGTATGATACTTAATCAATGTTCTTAATAAACTGTGGATTCACCAAAGGCCTTGTTGACAAAACTCTATTTAGAATTCAAGATGGTGATCATACTTTATTAGTGCAAATATATGTTGATGATATTATTTTTGGAAGCACTAACAATTCTTTGTGTGAGAAATTTTCGAAGCTTATGCAGAATAAATTCGAAATGAGCATGATGGGTGAATTGAATTACTTCTTGGGCTTACAAGTCAAACAACTGAAAGAAGGAGTATTCATCAATCAAGCAAAGTACACCCGCGACTTGATAAAGAAGTTTGGCATTGATGGAAAATCATCAATCAAAATTTCAATGAGCATATCAATAAGGCTAGACAAAGATGAAGATGGAAAGGATGTCGATCAAACAAAATATAGAGGAATGATTGGTTCACTTCTATATCTTACTGCAAGCAGGCCGGACATTTCTTATGCTGTGGGAGTGTGTGCAAGATTCCAAGCAAATCCAAAAGAAAGCCACCTCACCGCAACAAAGAAGATCATACGATATCTGAAAGGCACAATCAATGTTGGATTATGGTATCCAAAAGGTACAGATTTTACTCTAACAGGTTTTTCAGATGCGGATTTTGCAGGTTGCAAAATAGACAAAAAAAGCACTTCCGGGACATGCCAGTTCTTGGGGGAAGACTTGTTTCTTGGATCAGCAAAAAGCAAAATTCCATCGCAACTAGTACCGCCGAGGCCGAATATATTGCTGCAGGGAGTTGTTGTGCGCAAATTTTGTGGATGAAGCAACAATTGAAGGATTACGGAGTAAATTGTGATGACGTTAGTATTTATTGTGATAATACTAGTGCAATTGCTATCACTCACAATCCGGTGCTTCACTCAAGAACCAAACATATCGACATTCGACATCATTTTATAAGGGATCACGTTGAAAAGAAAAATCTGAAGATTGAATATATCCCTACGGAAAACCAAGTTGCTGATATTCTCACGAAGCCTTTATGCGAAACGAGATTTTCTACCTTAAGGCACGAGTTGGGAATGATCGAAATGAGCTAAGTATCACTGAACTTAAACTCTCTATTTAAATTGATACTTGTGCTCAAAATTAATTGTTTTACGTGGATAAATTGTTTTATCTGTTTCTTTGCATGTTTTTATTCGAAATATTTATGTGATAAAATTGCAATATGTGTTAGAAATTTATTTGTGTTTTTGCATGTGTTATTTAATGTGAGATCATACGCCATGCAAATTAATTTGATAAAATGTGCAATTCGTGATTTATTTGATAATTTGTATAAAATTGCATGTTTTAATGTGTTATCAGTTTTTGAGTATGTGTTCATGTTTCTGTAAATTAACTAACTTGTTTGCATGAACAATTTTCTCTAAAAATGATTTACCATGTTTATTTGTTAATATATATGTGCTATGTGCAAAATGTGATTTAATATGTTATTTGTATGTGTGTTTCGTATATATGCAGTATATGTGATATAAATTGCTATAAAATGTTTTAGAAATCTAGAAATTAGTATTTTTGTTAGTTTCTAAAATATTTTGGAATCTGATTAATATGTTTTTTTTTATATAAAGTTGTTTCTAATTTTAAATTAGGAATATGTGTGTCAATTGTGTTAATTTCCAAATTATATGTATTTTAATTAGGAATGTCGTGTATATGAGTTTAATGAAATTGGTATGTGTGATTGATTATTTGTGGAGTAATTTTTGCTACTAACGAGATGTTTGAGTGTGTTTATGTTTGTGGTACACGAATTTGAGAAGGAAATCAGGACATAAAGGAGGAAAATTAGAGTTTAATTGGGCATCAAACCTCCACCCATAAACTCCTACACTTTCTAAACCTCCACCCAACCTAAACCTCCCCCCATAATCCTCTTCTAAATCAAATCTTTCCAAACAGATTTACCCTCTCTCTCTCAAATCGGCACCCCATACCTTCTCTCAGCTTAATAATATCAATCGTCTCCCACAGAGCAATTAAAACCTAACCCCTCATTAAACTCTCCCTTCTAAACCGTTGCCCATCAAATCTCTTCCGATCCACCGCCATCTTAGCCAATGAGAAGTCTTGCCGCTATCCATCACATCCGTAAACTCTAAACGACGGCAAGAAGAATTAACTCTCCATCGGCAAGTGAACCAATTACACTCCTGACCGCCCTATATATTAGGAGACAGCCGAGACATACCTGTTGTGGAAGATTTTTTTGTTTGAATTTTTGCAGGTGCAAGATGGTGTCCAGCAAGTCTCAAGAAAAAGAGATAAGGAAGCAAAGTCAGAGAACCTGGGAGAAAGTTCTCAAACAACCCCGAAGGGCAACACGCACGGACGGACGAAAAATGGCAGGAGAAACACCAAGCAACCCTCTGGTGTTAATATCTGATGAAAGGGAGCAAGATAAGGAGTCGCCACAAATTCAAGCAATTGCAGAATCACCACCGCGTGAACCGGGCTTTATCTATGAAGAAGATGATAGTGCCAAGAAACCATTGGCAGAACAAGACCGAGTGGAAGGGTCTGAGCCTCCATTCATGAAATTTTCTCCGGTTGTTCAACCTGACATATATGCTGAAATTCTGAATATGAGAAATTCAGAATATCTCGAGTATTTAAAACAACTGACTTTTGGACCGGTTCTACCTCATCCCGGTTTTGGTTTTGATGGGCTCTATCAACCTCCTCCCCCACCAGAGCCTCTCCCGAAGTTTCCACCAAGTCTGCCAGTTCTTGCACCACTGCCACAAGAAATCCCTGCTCCTCCACCGCCTCCTCAGCAGATGCCACTCAACCCGTTCATCCGTCCTCGAGTGGACTTTACTAGGTTTTTAAATCAAACCTATTCATCTTCAAGCTCAAACGGGTCGATGTTCGAGGAAAGTGAGTCAAGTGGTGACTCAGGACCGGGATATGCTCCTTCACCACCAGGAGGCTATGACTCAGAAGACTGCATGAGTACGGGCTTTTCTGCCTGTTGAAGAAATGTTATGCTATCTCTCTCTCTCTCTCTCTCTCCTTCTCTGTAAGAAGGAGATAAATAAAATTTTATGGATGTTTTTGCTACTGGTCTTGTCTATCTCTATTTTCTCTCTGCCTCTCTCTCAAAATGAAAATCCCTACGGTATATAAAAAGAACAAGTTTCGTAGCCAAAAAGATACATAAAAAAATTATATGAATAATAAAAAAAAAAAAGGGGAGGAATAAAAATAAATTTAAAAAAAAATTATTATGGCTACAAAAGGGATAAAAGAAGAAAAGATTAAGAGGAGAAGTGTCAGTACGAGAAGAAATATGAAGAACAAGTGTCAGAAGAAAGAAGAAGAGATACACCAGTGGAAGTTGCAGTAGAAGTTGCTACTGAGAGTAGACTGCAAATCACAGAGGATTTATCCAGTGTATTGCCGGTACACCATACCGAGTCTACCATGCCTACCATGGACCCTGTTCTAGAGAATGAAGATTTATTTACAGAGAACTACACGAGAACAGAGGTCTTAGAAGAAGAAATTGGTGATCTCAATCAAGAAGCCTAATCACCTGAAGAAGAAGGGATGCAACTTATTGACACAGTTATTCTCACAGATCCGAATAAAATTCCATTCGGATCCCCTCAAAATTTTGTGCAGATGGATGAACAAGAAGATGACATAATTTCATCCTTATTTGCCAAAGTAGCCGAATCCAGTGATGTTGTTTGTCAAACAATTGGAGAAAAATTGGTTGAACAAAACCAAAAGCTAGATCAACAACACAGGGATGTACGAGTCAATCTGAAGGAGTTAATAGAGCATCAAAATATTTTGAAGACCCAGATTGACAAAGCAGAAAGAATTTTGAAAGGAGAATTGACAAAAGGCTTACTTGAAGTGCTTCAGCTCATGAAGAAGGAACGTGAAGCTGCTGAAAAGATTAACAACGAACGTCACTTGAGATAGATCAAAGCAATTCAAGACCAAGAATGTCGAATCAACAAACTTGAAGCTGAACTCGCAGTTACAACAAACAAGCTTGACAACGTGCAAACTGTTTCCATTGAAACACACAACAGTGTTGAAACTGTGAAGGCAAACCAAGACCGAGATTTTAAGACCCTTGCATTTTTGGTTGATAACGCCAAAAGGGGGGAAGAAATTCTCAGTCACTTGGCTTTGCAACAACAAGAATTTATTCTTGGAAGTCAACAACAGCCAGTAATGTCTACTCAAGGTAGAGGCCGAAGCCGCGGACAATCCTCACAAGGACCATCTCAGATTGGTTTTGCTCAGTTCGCGAATCCTAGTCTTGGTACGAGTACATCAAAGGTTGCTGAACAGCGTGGCTGGTTCGAATGCTCAAAGGGTACCGCCACTCAGACAACAATATGGACCAAGGAAAATTTACCAAGCATGATCAAGAAATGGCCTGCAGCCGATCAAGCCCAATGGATCTCGGAGAAGAATAAAGAAGAAGAAGGCAAAAGGAAAAGAACCGAGATGTGGTATGAACTAAGAGATTTCACTGGAAATATGGGCATGAATCTTGGAGAAGAAAGAAGCTTCGAAGAATGTGTCTTATGGTGGGAAAACGGAGTTCTTCCGGGTAACAATATCAAAGAAGCTTTTGGACATTACATGGTCGGACAGCTTACAAAGAAATTTCAGAATGCAAAGTTCAAAGATGATTTCTTCAAGCTCAGAGAACATGTCAAGGAAATTTTGAAGAAAGACTTTGGTGTGAAGAAACCCAGAAGGTAATTTGAAAATTCTCTTAAGTTGATATTCTCTATTTTCGAACCTCTATTGCATTTTTCTCTATAAATTCGAAATATATCAATAATAATTTCCCATGGTCTATTTTGAGTCTTTAATTTTATTTGTTTAATGTAATTAGACTTTCGTGAGTTAAAAGACAAGAAATATGTAAAACGCACGACAAAATTAAAAATTGATGATGATCAAAATAAAAATAATTCAAGATGCGTTTAGGAGCTTGTCTAAAAATTTAATTCACAAGTTTCTTTTGATTGTGTCTAGAAAACCATTTGTTAAACTCATCTTGGCTTTGTCAAATAAAATTGAGCAAAAAGATTATTTTTCAAAGACTTAAAGCCAATGACTGAGTATAGGTTTTGGCATTATCAAAAGAGGGGAAATTGTTAGGAATAAAGTGTAATGGTTTTGATATGCCAAATTTGTATTTGTAGATCCCCCAATTTTATTTTTATAGGTCTAGTAGAGTCTTAGACCATGATCGGGAAATTATTTAATTATGAAAAGAGAAAAATAGAGGAAGATGGATGAAAATATAAGAAGAAGATATAAAGCCGAAAATCAAGAATTTGTCTGGAGAAAATGACAAATTGAAGAAGAAGATTAATGATACAATATTCACGTCGCTACTACTCAAAGAAGATATCCCACAAGAATTTTCGTGAATAAAATTAATATTGGAAGAATGCATGAAATTGACTTGGAGATCAAGCATCTATGGAAAGAAAGAAGTACATCAAATATGATTAGAGATTTAATCAAAAGTTGTACGGATGAAGTGGATGATGCTTGATATATTATCCGAAATGGCTCAAGTTCAAAACTCACCATTAATAATTTTACAAGGTAAAATTTGAGAAGTCAAATTAAATTAATCTGATGGAGTTGGGCGCTAGTTTAAGCTTTGGGCGCCAATTACAAGTTTCACTTGGGTGGCAATTTCAAGTGGAAATTGGGAGCCGATTTCATAGAAATTGAAATTGGGAGCTAGTTCGAATCAATTGAAATTGGGAGCCAGTTTCAGAGAAATCAAAATCAATTGAAATTGGGAGCAAGTTCCACGAAATCAATTCAATATGGGAGCCAATGTAGAATTGAAATTGGGAGCCGATTTCATAGAAATTGAAATTGGGAGCTAGTTCGAATCAATTGAAATTTGGAGCCAGTTTCAGAGAAATCAAAATCAATTGAAATTGGGAGCAAGTTCCACGAAATCAATTCAATATGGGAGCCAATGTAGAATTGAAATTGGGAGCCAATTGAGGTTGTAGTATGGGATGTAATTTCAAAGTTGGGGACCGATTCAAAGAAGACATGGAGATCAAATTGAATTGAGATGAAATTCAAATACCAGGAGAAGTCTGGGAGCCAATTTCAAAGTCAAAGTCAACAATTCAAATTGGGAAGCAATTGAAAGCACCAGGAGCAGTTGGGAGCCAATTACAATGGAGAAATTCAAATTGGGTGCCAATTACAAGCCAATTGAAATTGGGTGTCAATTACAATGGAGAAATTCAAATTGGGTGGAAGTTCAAAGCCAGTTTGAAGTCTGAGAACACCCAGACGTGAGAATGAAGAAGATGAAGATGAACTTACAGTGAAAATATTCTCACAAGGAAAAATACTAGTTTAACTAGTATGGGATTAAATTGATGAATATTTTTAAATCCCAAAGATACAAAGACCACTTCAGAGCTGATCAGAGAAGTCATTCAACACCAAAACTGAGACCCAGATATTTTCCACTCAACGGTGTAGCATGAGAAATACCAAGATCAAGGAGAAGTGCTTTTAACCATTTCAATTCACTTGTTGCCGCAGCCATTGCACGATACTCAGCATCAACAGAGGAGCGTGAGACAATATGTTACTTCTTAGTTTTCCATGAAATCGGGGAAGTTCCTAGAAGAACAAAATAAGCAGTCAATGAGCGACAAGTGAGAGGGCAACCAGCCCAGTCAACATCACAATAGGCATATAGACGTAGATCACAATCAGCCCAAAGAAAAGCCCCTGCCCTGGATTAGCCTTCAAATAACGCACCACACGAAGTGCAGCTTCCCAGTGAGGAACCTGCGGTTTATGCATGAATTGTGCGAGAATGTGCACACTATAACAAATATCTGGACGAGTAACTGTCATGTATATAAGCCGACCAACGAGCTTCCTATAACTGGTAGGATCGGTCATTTCTTTTCCATTAGCCAAAGCTAATCGATGGTTTTCCTCGAGTGGGACAGCAGCAGGTTTTGCACCCAAGAGACCAGTCTCTTCAAGGATATCAAAAGCATATTTTCTTTGGC